TCATGGCCTCAAACTGCTGAATGACGCGTCGGAGCTCAAAACGACCGGTCGGGTCGTTACAGATAGTCAAGGCATAGATTGGTCTACTTACTCAGCATACACTGACAAGTCACATACCGATCCCTTTGAAGTTTTTTTCATATCAGATCTGCCTCAACAAAAAGTGGGAGCATGTAAGTATTCAATCATCATTCTTGTATGTTATATACAAATCTAATTGTATGAATTATTTTTAATTGTTTCAATCAACATTTTTTTAGGGATTGTAGGGTGCATGTTGCGGCATACACAGAGTTTCTGAGCACTCTTGGTGAGATTCCACAAACAACATTTGATTCCAATCTACTCCGTCAAAGATATGGTGCTCTTCTATGGGACTATGCTATGCGGGAGATAGACGTTGATGCCATAAGCGAGAATGAAGCACCCTCAAAGATTGCTAGGCAAATCACGGAGTCAGATTCAAAGTTGTAGATAGTATTAGAGTAGCTTTAGGTTAATGTAGTTTTAGAATGTTATTTTTAGGTGAACTCTGTTTTTTGAGTAGTTTTTTGGTGAAGATGGTATTCAGTTAGAAAAAACCATCACTTTATTAGCAGTGTTCGTGTATGACAATTGCAACTTTTCAATCGATGTTTCATTATTTTCTTCATAAGTATTAATGCTTATTCTTCAATTTATATTCATATGTATCTTACAGGATATAAGTATGTATTAATAATCAGTAATATCAAAGGTTATATGTATTGAACAGGTTATACGTATTGAACATGTTAATATCAAAGTCAGAAACTTTATGTATACTGATGGTAGGTTATATTAAAGAATTCAGATGTATTTTTCTGTATTTAATTATATTCAGCTGTATTATTCAGCTGTATTTAGCTGTATTCGGTTGTATTCTTTAATATGTATCTTTCAAATTCAGTTATTACATATTAAAGAATACAAATTCAGATGTATTGAACAGGTTATACGTATTTATTGAAATTGTTATATTATAGCTGAGTATATAGATGTATTCTGATGTATTCTGACTAGCTATCTATATTGAACTCAGACACTATCTATTATTGTATGTCTAAGTATATGTGGACAAGGTTGTATTCGACTGTATTCAAATTAATACTGCAACTAACTATATACAGAATCTAATCATGTTATTTATATTCAACCTATTTTTTATAATATAGCTGACCATATAGTTGTATTCAGATGTATTTTGACTAGTTATATATATATATATATATATATATAACTCAAGCAGTATATATAACAAATTGTCAAAGTATATGTGGAAAAATTGTCAAAGTATATGTGGAGAAGATTGTATTCTAATGTTTCCAACACATTACTGCAACTAAATGCATCCAGAATCTATTCACGAAAGGTATTTTAGAAATTATTACTTGACAATGAGAATTTATTACTTGACAATGTCATCATAATTATTGACAAATCGTTGAATCACCGATATATGTTAGAGTGTTAACTAAATGCTACATGGAGCATTTCTACACGTTTGTTTGTTATGTCCTCCCTGCCCACATATGTTACATGAATGTTGATTTTTCGGCTGCAGCAACTCACTTAAAGGTTTATCGCACTTCTTTTTTGGCCTTCCAGGAGGTCTTTTCCATTTTGGTGGTAGTACAACCTCCTCTGCAACATGTGCTGGTATGTTCCAGTCATTTCTGTCTGGCAGCGGGTACACAGGCACATCATATGTCATTACAACAATATTTGGTTTGTAATAGTTAAAGCAATATTCTTCTGGCATTAGAAACTTGTTCTTCAATACAGCCCAAGCATGTGGGCATGGTAATTCATCAAATTGGAACCTCTCACAAACATATTTTCTCTCTAACAGGCAGACTGTGTAATGCCTCCCTCCATTGTTAACCGTATGTAAGTATTCAGTTGATGGTACCACCTACATTTAAAAATAGAAATATAAGTTTTGAGCACATATAACTGAATTACCATATAAATAATGTTGAATTACTTAGTTACATACAACTGAAATATTTGCATACATAAGAATACATCATATATTTAGACCGACAGACTATAAACTATAATTACGTCTTATCTTATGAATACTATTACATACATCAAAAATCAGCTGTACTTTAGGCAATTGAAGTGTAACAAAAACATTAGAAGGCTACGGCATGACAATACATATTAAAATTATGTATAATACAGATTTGTTAGTTGTATTCTGATGTATTCGAATAGTTTTTGCAGCATGTTTTTAGTTGTATTTAACTCAGATCTTCGATAAAATATGTCTTGTATGTGTTTGAATTTAGTTGTATTCATATGTATTCATGGCAGTTGTATTATAAAAAATATTTGTATTCATATGTATTCATGTCAGTTATTTCAGAAAACAATTAAGCTATATAATACAATGACATTAAAATAAAACTTACAGTCATGCGTGTAGACATTGCCTCATTCAAAGTCAGCATCTCCTGGTATTTTTTTCCAAGCGTTGTGTATGTCTGTGTAGCTTCTTTGTGGTTACTATAATTCCAATGTCCAAACATCTTCCTAACTTCTTCGAGGAAGTCGTATATTGGCAATTTCCTTGCTGACACTAGTGCGACATTGATTGACTCAGCAATATTTGACGGCATTGTCCATCCCCTGTTAACAGGGGCATACAACCTAGCCCACTTTTCGTATCCAGCTAACTCTAAATATTCTTTCACCCTAATATCTACCTTCTCCACCTTCTCCATCAGACCGTCAAATTTAGCTTGTGTGTATGCTTTTGCCATCGAGAAGTATATCTCGCTCAACTTGGCATGACTCTTTTTGAATTTTTTATATACGTTGTTCCATAGATGCCATATACAAGCAAAATGCAGTACATCTGGATACACTCTCGATAAAGATTTAATGATACACTCATTTCTATCTGAAACGATGCACATGTTTTCCCTGTCACTGTATGCTATCTTGAATTGCTCAAAGAACCACGTCCAAGCAGCATCATTCTCTGAATCAATAACACCATATGCTAGTGGCAATATATGACCTATAAAGACAATTGAATATATATTTTTAAAACATGTATTTCAATCTTTAAAATATTAACAGATTGTATTATAATTCAGGTATTCACCTGCACCATCCAACGTGCTTGCCGAAACGAATGTCCCGGTATAGTAAGATTTTAGGTGACTTTCATCCACAACAACAGTGGGTTTACAATGATCAAACCCCTTTATAAAGGCATACAAAGATATATACACGTACATGAATTCATTTTTGGGCGATTTTACCATCCTGATGTGGGAACCTGGATATGTCATATCCATTATATATAAGTATCCTGGTAATTTTTTGTATGAATCAGTCGGTTCACCTCTCAAAAAATTCATTGCCTTTTCTTTAGCCCTCCACGCCAACATGTAGATAACATCTACACCTAAATCTGATTTCACATCATCAATAATATCCTTTGGGATGTATTTCCTCTTATGATTAATAAGCTTAGGCCTAATCATACCACCTCTAAGGCTGCTACTTGCCTGCCACTGCTCGTACACCTTGTCCTTCAGCGGACATGTATGGTTATCAATGAACTCTCTCACTTTGAATAGTTCTAATTTGTTAATGCTTGAAGCCTTAAACCTCCATCCACAATCTTCTGAAATACATAATAATGCATAACTGCAAAGAATTAATCATTGTACATATGATTAGCATAAATATTTACAAAAAAATGCACTCATATACACACGAATACAATCTGACATAGATACATTCTGACATCTATATATATAAATTTTTATACTACTGAATTCAATTATAGTTATATGCATTTAAATATAATGAATAAAACTGAATACAATTGTGGGTATATGTATACATTTAAAACCACAGCAGACAACATAAGAAAATAATTAGAGACACTGTAATGTAATTATACCAGTAAAATACATATGAATACATGTATTTAAGGACCATAAACAAACATATGTTAACGACATCAGTGATAATCAAGAGAAAATCCACAAATACGCATAAATACAACAACGTTAAACTTACAGCTCGAACCAATAATAGGAAATACAAAAAAAAATTAAATACATGCAAACCTGACAGCATTAGACCTGTCAACCCGGAATTGAAATCTTTGAGATATAGCATAATTCTCCATCACCTCTTTCAATGTAGCCTTATCCTTATACACTTGTCCAGCCATAACCTCCCTTTGATTAGTATTTGAAATTATCAAATCCCTGTCCAATTCGAACACCCCAATTGCTTCTCCTGAATTGACAAAATCTAGAGCCAGTGTATCATCTGTATCGAAATCGTACCTTTGAACTGCTTCGTCTATTTTCACAATGTCGCCTTGATTTAAACTACCTCCGGATACAAGTTCTTTTTCAATAGTTGTTATGCACAAAGGATACATCCCGAATTCTCTGTTCTCTTTTTTCAACTCTACATACACTTTGTAACCCATATCATTGTGTATTTTCATTGGCGTGCAATTTCCTTCTACTTTGTATTGAATGTTAATGGACTTTGAGCTCAAATCTATGCCCAGTTGATTAGAAATTGAAGCAACCAAATCATTAAAGGACACATACTCCTTTATCAGTATTCCCTCAATTGAAAAATCGACGTAATTGCCCTCATCGTTCCACTTGCCAGAATGACGCAACAACACTGTTAAACTTGTCATATGTATGAAGGAACTATACCGTATTTTGTATATAATTTGTATCAATCTAATTTTCTGTGGTTGAATTGATATCTACGAACAGAGAAAAGGGAGAAGTGAATGGAAGAACTTCGAACAAATGTTGCTCTTGTTTTCGCTACTTTTTTTTTTGAATCGTGCATGGCAGAATACAGATTAATGGGTAATAGTTTTTGTTCGTTGAGTTAAATTAGGAGAATATCATGTGATTTGATTTTCTTTCCATTTTTAACTAGTTTAACCTTCCAGATTTTACGCAGATACGTTACTGTATTCACGATAAGGCCGCGTGAATACAGTTAAATACATATCAACCTTAGCTGGAATTCCATTTTTAACGCCTATTTTTTCTATTGTATTAATGAATACAATAGCTTAAATACATCAAATATATTATATAAAAACATAAAAAGTATCTATAACACGTAATATAACAAAAGGTATCTATAAATGGCTAATTAGACCTAAAAGATGGTGCTTTATGAAAAATTCTCTATTAAATACAAGTACATTTGTCTCCTAAATTTTCACCCAACCTTGCAAGGAATTTGGCCAACTAAAGGACAAATAGTGCCTTTTCCAATTAAAGAATCCCCCACCCCCACCCTCCACCCCCCCAAAAAAATAGATTTTATGAGACTTTTCAACTGCGCGTCACGTTGATGAATAATTAATATTTTTAACAATTTATCTTCTTAATTAATTTTGAATTTGTAACGACCCAAATTTTCGTTCTAAGAATTAGCATTTCCATTCAGCGGCTTAACACCTTGAGAAGCTTCGTAATATGCATCATGACCCGCATGTATGGTCGAGTTTGGTTTTCGTAAGATTCGGAGTTAAATTAAAAAAAAAACAAAATCTTATTTTTGAAGCTCAAATGAAAGAGTTGACCGGAGAGTTGACTTTTGAGCAAACGACCCCAAATTAGAATTTTAATGATGTCAATAGCTTTGTATGGTGATTTCGGACTTAGACGTGTGTCCGAAATTGGATTTGGAAGTCCATAGGACAATTCAGCGCGTCTTGTCGAAGTAAGAAAGTTGATGTGTTCTAATTATATTATTTTATATGTGGAAGAGGTCTATTACTATGATGGATACCAATTGGATATGATAGCAAGTGTACAAGGTGTACTACAAGATATATGGGGTCTAAGGAAAGTCCTAAGTCTAAGCCAAGTTGGAAAATTTCATAATAGACTAAAGTTGCAAATGAGTACGCACAAGATCTCACTTTGGTCGGGCATATCTACGTATATATAAGGATTTTTGTGATGAACAATATATCAAATTAAATCTCTATGAGTCTAGTTTCCATAACATCAAACCGTTTGTCATTTGGAGGTGTATACAGAAAGTTATGACCATTTTACCGGACATGTGTCATATGCACGCCCAGGTGCGCGACCGCGCATATTCGAAAGTTTCTGCCTGTGAGCGCGACCGGAGCACGACCGCGCTTGTTAAAATCGTTATAATACCCCTAGACAGTGTATAAGCCGAAGGGATCCAAAATTTCTTCCATTTTTGGTCATTCAAGCTCGGATTTGGGCAATTTCAAAGGGGTTTTTCACGATTTTGACTTGGGTAAGTGTTCTATATCCGGAAGTGATTACATTTCATGAATCTATATCAATATTCATCGTTTATTTCGGATTTGGATGAAAGAAATTGTGGTTTTTGTAAAACTTTTCAAAAATAAAAATTTAGGATTTGAAGGTCCATTTGACATCGAAATTTGATAATTTTTGTATGGTTGAACTCGTATCGGAATGGGTTGTCGGATTTTATGAGTTTTGTCGGATTCCGATACGTGGGCCCCACGGACAATTTTTGAGCTAAATTTTGGATTTAATCCGAAAAATTTGTAATATCATATAGAATTAGTTCCTACGATTCTTGTTGAGTATTTTGAATAGTTTATGACTAGATTTGAGGATTTCGGGCACGAATTCGCGAGGCCAAGGGTTATTGGAAATTTTGAATTGGTTGCAAAGCGAGGTAAGTGTTTGGTCTAATCTTAGCTTGAGGGATTAGGAGTTGTGTCCTATTTTCTATGTGTTAATTGTTGAATACGACGTATATGCATGGTGACGACTATCTATACGTTGGTGTCAAGCATGCCCGTGAGTCTTATACTATGATTAATGTGATTCCGTTTCGTATTGTTTATGCTCTATATGATAATTTCTATTGAGGAATATAACTTGTGGAAGTATTATGGTTAATTGTTGAACATGGTAGAGCGTTGGCTCAAGTTGAGAATTGAGAATTGAATTGTTAAACATTGTAGAGCATTAGCTCAAGTTAAGAGTTGAATTGTTGAATATGGTAGAGCATTTGCTCAAGTTAAGAATAGAATTATTATTCATGATATTGTTTCCCTTGCCAGGGTTTTATTGTGATATTCTTGATTTTCCTTGCCCAAATTGCTTTGTGATTGTTGTTTGGGTGAGGAAGCGTGACAAAGCATGAAGGGTGATGCTGTGCACATTTATATTATTCATATGGTGAGGAAAGAGTGATAAAGCACGAAGGGTGATACTGTGCACATTTATATTATTCATATGATGAGGGAAGAGTGATAAATCACGAAGGGTGATGCCATGCTGCATGATATACAATTCCGTGCCAATTACATTGATTTTACAGTGAGGATGAGAGTAAAAGCACGAAGGGTGATGCCGTGCAGTTTATATTGATTCTTATGGTGAGGACGAGAGTAAAAGCACGAAGGGTGATGTTGTGCACTTGTCCTTGATTTTTTTCCTGATTCTAATTGAGTTATGTTGTCCTTTACGTTTATTTACTGATTTTCTGTTGTTACTTGATTTTATTTCGATGTTATAGATTCTGTTGCCCTATTTTCCTTGTGTTTGTTGCTTGGGTGAGGAAGAGTGTAAAGCACGAAGGGTAATGCCGTGTATTGTTTTGGTGAGAGAGTGTTAAAGCACGAAGGGTGATGTCGTGCACTTTCTGTTTGATGTGTTTACTTGTTATTAACAATCCATAGTGTTTACAATACTTCGCCTTATTTTTTATATATGTTCAATACTTCAAATTTCAACTATTGTTACATTTTTTTTACTTAATTGATTTCTCAACTAAAGTTTCCTTAAACCGTTTGAGGTCGTACTTTACTTAAAAAGGAATTTCTACTATGTTTTGATTTATTGATTTCTCGTATTAAAGGTAATGACTCATTCGATATTGTAATTTAATTGAAAAAGGTATTTTATTTATCAAATGATTTCAAAAGAAAACTTCATCTTTTCTTGTTGATTTCCTAATTGGGTTGGAAATTGTACTCTACTTTATGTTAAGTGAATGAGGCTCCTTGAACATTCTTAAATTGTATTGGGTTATGGAACCTATGAACTGAGTAACATAAGAATATTGTTGTGCAATGTGAGACAGAAATATGTGGGCACAAGGTATCGGGAAAAATATTATGGTTTTATTTAATGACACGTGAGTTGTCCGTGCGGTTGTGATATATATAAATATGGGCACGAGGTGCCGTAAAAATATGAAAGTGGGTTGAGACCTATATTATTTATGATTATAAAATGAGGCGTCACAAGGTGACCTTTACTCGAAAGAATTATATTAGAAAGATGCTTATTTGAAAGATATTTATTTGAAGGAAATAAATTCGAAATATATCTATTGAAAAGCATATTATCTCAGAGATTATTACTTGAAGGGTTTATAGGCGAAAGAGTTATATTTGAAAGATTTGATTAATTGATTGCACTTGTATTTATTATTTGTTGAGAAACATTTATGTTGTTCTTGTTGCCTGCTATTTATATCACTAGTTGATCATTGTTGCCACCATTGTTATCTGGTTCCTATTATTTTTGTACGCTATATTGCACAGGTTTATTAGGTAGTCTGGTCTTAGCCTCGTCACTACTTCTCCGAGGTTAGGCTAGGCACTTACTAGCACATGGGGTCCGTTGTGCTGATACTACACTTCTGTATATTTTTGTGTACAGATCTAGGTATTTGATCGATAGTAGTTGTTTGTTATGGTGGAGACTCAAGGTAAACCTACTGCAGCGTTCGCAGTCCTCGGAGTCACTCAATTGAGCTTATTTCCATATGTTCCCTTGTTTTGGAATAGTGATGTATTTATGTTGTATGACTACTCCTAAAAAGTCTTATGACTTGTACTGCTGGTTTTGGGAATTGTATTTTGTTCAGAGTAATTTAATTTAAAGTTAGTAAATACCCATATTATTACAGTAAATGTTAGGCTTACCTAGTCTAGAGACTAGGTGCCATGACGACTTCTTTGGAGGGACTTTTGGGTCGTGACAAGTTGGTATCAGAGCTCTAGGTTCATATGTGCTACAAGTCATAAGCGAGTTTAGTAGAGTCTTGTGGATCGGTACGGAGACGTCTGTACTTATCTTCGAGAGGCTACAGAACTATTAGGATAACCTCACTTCTTTCATTTCTTATCGTGCGATATTGATTCAGCTTGAAGCGTATATCTTATGTTCTTTTGCATCCACTCATGTATGGAATTGCGCACTATGCCAATGGTTTGTGATACTATAAAAGGGTTATAAGGGAGCCAAAGTTGCTCGACTATTGTTACCACGTGTTGTCCAGAATTGGGGATGCGGAAGTATGGAGAGACCCTTCAGTTGTGCGCATGGAGATGCAATAGGTTTTGACATCTGGTTGATAAGTACAATCTTAAGAAGGTTTAGTTGGCTGCCTAATCATCGCATGTGGATGTAGAAAGAAAAAAATTTGGTCATATTAGAGACTATGTGTTTCGTATGGGATTTCTATTTAGCGAAGGGTACTTACTAGAAAGCCAAGACACTGGAGGAGGCGAGTTTAACCGTCACGAGGATGACATACGCCAAATAAATGGCTTGAGGTGTCTTATGACCGGTGTCGTACGAGCGATAAAGGTTAGTATTGTGAATCATTAGAATGTTTCATATGGCTTCGTGCTAA